TGTCTCACGGATTAGAATCTACGCCTGGTATTTGCAACGTCATAAGGGATTGTTGGGGGTGAATGACTACTCACCTATCGAGGGTATCGGCGTCTCGGTAAGCGTGAAGAGCAAGGAACCCAATCAGGCCGAGATCTCCAAGTATAATGACCCAGCTGAGGAAGGTTGACCAGGAGAACAGAAGATGAAGGATGAACATGACAGTGAAGACGAGACTGGACTGCCACGCGTGGAACCTAGACATATGACGTTAGCTTTGGTATCCTAGACACCTAAAATGGAACACTCCATTTGAGGACTCACCTAACATAATCACTCTTCCTCTCCAAGATCAGGAGTATGATCGCGCCAAGCGGCGGTAGTCCAATATACGCAAGCACAGCCTCGTAATCAAGCCTGATGCCCAGACTAGTATCGAACTCACTAACGAACCCCCCATCTCCATTCCCATTGCCCCCCAGCCCTATCCCTCCTCCCACGCCCGCGCCCGAAGCAAAATCACCGCTACCAAACCCTTCTTCCGAGGCATAACCCGCGTGCCACGAGCGCTGCGGTTGCGGATGCTGTAGCGGCGGGGGCGAGTAGGCGGCGAAGTTGCGCTGCGTGGGGCTGAAGGACGACCGCCTCTGGTCGAGCGATGCGCGCGGCGACCCCGTGCCGTCTGCTGCTGCGGTGGGTGGTGAGAACGGGCGGTTGTGCTCTGGCGGAGAGCTCTGGTAGGGCGCGAAATCCATCGCGAGGGAAACGTTCTCGTGTAGCTGAGCTGTTGTGCAGTTGTGCGGTTGTGTAGGTAGGTGGGTGGGTAGTTGAGGGCCGCTTGAGCTCCTCTTGTTTTGGCGCGTTCGCTATCTGTTCATCGGGATTTGAGAGAAAGAGAAGAGCTCTCTACCAGGTAGGTGGGTGCTGATGGTGATGTGATGGTTCGCTGCCTTGTATATCTTGCCTGGTCATGTGGCGGTCGAGGATGGGTATGGGGCAGGGTAACGTTGGGAGTCGTCGTCAACTACTCAGCTCGGCGTTGGTGGTCAATCAATCAATCAATGCGAATCAAATGCGACGTACGTTACCTATCTAGGTAGGTATACGGGGCTGTTGCCTGTCATTTTAGTGGTATGCAGGGTCCAGTTTAGCGCATGTTACACACCGGAATAAATAGGCGTGGTTACCTGTGCTAAGGGAAATTGAGCAGAGCGCAGGTCTCACCGCATTGAAGACAAATGTCTACTTAAGTATGCTGTAGGTACCCATAATAATATCGTGCATCAACCGAGCACAGCGTTTTGGGAGGTATGGTCATTATCATGTTCATGCTATGCTGGTTTCTCCCAACTTACTACTCAAGCTTCATGAGTAGATACGCCTGTATGGCTTCGACTGTGGGGTTCATGTACATTGTTGGTTCTAGGTATACTGTTATACATCGCTCCAGAGGATATACAGATGAATAGTGCACGCCTTCTAGACAGTGGGTTCGTTTTCTGCCGATTCGCCTGCCTTCTTTCCTCCGTTGGATTCTTCTTCCAGTTGCGTCCGTCTGCCCTCGAGAGCCAACCAGAGTCCCTTGCCATGGCCCTCCAAAGCCATCGTAATGCCAAGGCCGGCATTTTGTAACAGGGAAATGAGGTGTGCCCGCAGTCCATCGACGCCGCCCTCGATGCCACCAACCCATTTAACTCCATCTTGGTCGAAAGCCCTGTTCTCCATCCTGCCTCCCATAAGGATTAGTTTGTGGAATCCACTCTGGGCAATAGGATCGTAATATCCAGGGTTCTTCTTCCGCGGCGGGGCAGGGAATGCGGGAGGAGATGGCGCAAGGACCTTGAGAATGGTTGCTAAATGCGCTGGCGAAACTGAAGGCAAGGTGACAACAGCAATAGGCCCTGTTATCAAGGGTTTGATCTGGCCGTAGGTGGACGACTCGTCAATGGTTGCCGTCTTGATCGACCTGTAAGCTGTCTTGGACAGATCGTGTGCATATGCATTCGACTTTTCGGCCTGGGCTTCAGGATCGAAGAAATCTACGATCTTGCAGGCGACATCGAACATGCGTGTGCGTAATACTTGGAACTCGATTTTGGATGTGATATCCGCAGGAACAACGCCATCAGGTCCAGCAACGGGAGAGGGAAGCTGTGCTAGAGCGGCACGCAGCTCCCGTCGCACAGCGGCCCATTCTACTGCGGTGAGGTTGTTATGTTGGAAGAAGAGCATCAACGGCGTCGACCGTAGCATTGCGGTGTATGAACGGAGAAGCTGGGACTTCCTCAGGTCGGGCCGTCGGGCACTTGGGGGCTGAGTGGGGGGGATATAGTCGTCGGGTAACCTTAAGCTGGCGAGAGGTACTGGGGATCCTGCCGTCGCATATTGCCTTGAAGCTATCCTCGTTGTGCTCTGGATTATCAAGGCTGGTACTCTCGTCGAGCTTGTCGTCGTTCGTTGTAGAGCTCGCCCTACGCTCGTGCGCGTAGAGCAATTGAGCCGCGGCGGCATTATGATAAATGTGGTAGTTCCCTTCCCGACTAATACTCTTTTTTTTGGACCTCCTCTCCCTCTACCCTACTGTTGTTGTCGGATGGGGGGTGTGCTGTTCGTTGCTCTCCTTCAGACCAACCACGGACCCGTCGCAAAAAGCTTGGGTGAAAATAATTGGACCGTGCTTCAATGGCGGACTAGAATGGGTGGGTCTGCCCTGGTCCGGGACGGGGGACCAGCATCGGAGGTCGGAGGTTCGACGTATTACACCGCCATTAATCGATAACAGTATGATAAGAATCGACTGGGTTCTCTAGCTCCACCTATCCCTGTCCCTGCCCCTCCATCGTTCGCAATCAGCATGCATTGGAATGAATGGCGGGGCAGCAAGATAGACTGCTCCCATGGGGTTGCTCTCTTATAACTTGACTCACTTCGAAGATCGCTGAGAGGGATGACTCTGAAGCTTGCATCCAGAAGGTAGCAGGCCAATTGAGTTATTTTGGATATTGTTATGATTTCCCCTGATTTTGATAATACCTTTTCCCAAGCTAGAGAGTTTCGGCGACAGCTTATAAGAATCTAATCTGCATAGACTTAACTCCGGGAACGTTCTCCGAATTCGGCAGCATTCACAATAAGATACACTATGGCTACTGAGATACAAGATATCCGCCCTTTGCTCCAGCGCTTATGGCCGGATCCTGAAAAGGAGAAGGTCACAGCTCGCGAGATCGCCGACGCCATCTCGCTGATCTTCGTCAATAAGTTAAGCCCTGTTCAGACGGGCTCGCTCCTCACAGCTCTGCACTTTACGGGCTGGGACCGTCGTGCTGATGTCCTGGCTGAAGCCTCTGCTGCTATGCGACGCCATGCGGCAGTGATCGACTTCCAAGGTTTAGAGAAGGCTATAGAAAAGGGGAAACGACCGGAGGGGAAATACTCGGGCGGATTGGTGAGTGTCTCTTCGGAGGGTTGTAATTGCTATGACGAAAGAGACGGGGAGCTCGACGATGTTCTGGCCGGGAATATGAAGACATAATATTAATACATATATCTCGTAGTGTGATATCGTTGGCACAGGAGGCGACTCCCACCACACTTTCAACATCTCCACCACATCCTCCATTCTCGCCTCCTCTCTGCTCCTCCTCGCGAAGCATGGCAACCGTGCCTCGACCTCCAAGTCCGGCTCTGCCGACTTGCTCATGAACATGCAGCCAAAGCCCGCCCAGCTCGGCCGCATCACGCCCGACACCATATCTACCGTCTACCAGTCCACCAACTACGCCTTCCTATTCGCCCCTGTCTTTCACCCGGGCATGAGGCATGTCGCTTCCATCCGTAAAGAGCTCGGATGGCGCACAATCTTTAACCTCCTCGGCCCCTTAAGTAACCCGCTCGACGACGCCATCGAAGCACGTATGCTAGGAGTTGCGCGCGACGACCTAGGCCCCGTATTCGCCGAGGCCTTACGGTTAGCCGGTGCAAAGAAGGGGCTAGTGGTCTGTGGTCAAGAGCAGCTTGATGAGATATCATGCGCTGGGCCTACTCTCTGCTGGCAGCTAGTTGAAGGCGGCAATGATGGAAAAGTACAGGTCGAGCATTTCTTGCTCGAGCCAAAGGATTTTGGGCTTAGTGCACACCCTCTCAGCACTGTCTCGCCCGGTAAAGAACCTCATGAGAATGCGGAAATTCTGCGAAAGATCCTGCAGGGCGAACTAGCCGATGACGACCCCATCCTTGAGTTCGTGCTCATGAACACCGCGGCCCTGTTTGTCGTGTCGGGCATTTGCGAGGCCGACACGAGTGCCATGGGCCCCGGCGATGATGGAAAGGTCATCACGGAACGGGGCCCTGGGAATGGTCGCTGGAAGGAGGGAGTAAGAAGAGCGAGGTGGACGATCAAGAGTGGCGAAGCATGGAAACAATGGAGCGCTTTCGCTGAAGTTACGAATTCGCTGCCTGTGCCTACATGATATCGCTAGTCAAAACATAAAACTGAAAATGAAAGAGTGTGTCGAGAAGCTATAGGCCGGGCATACAAAGTATCCATCAACACCCAAAAAATATGAAGAATACAGAATTATATATGTATGCAAGTTATTATGTATACCGATTTGCCTTACTTCACTAGATAGAGATAGCATGCCGCCCTCAAGCGCAATCTAGGGTGTAGTTGAATTAATTAGAGGGAAGGAAGCCTCGTTGCTTCTTGGATTTACTTTATACCCCCTTTCTTAAATGTGAACAGGTATTGTTGTCTGAAGATGTCCGTACTGCATTTACCATCTCCCCTCCGCTGCTATACCTTTTATGACTCATAAAGATTTTGTCCGCCGCCAACAAAAAGCCTCTCCCCTAAAACACGTGAACACACACATATAGATAGAGTAGAGTGTGAGAACCACCAATAAGTAAGAAACAAATCCCTGACACAAGTAAAGCGAACGAATTAATCACGAAGAACAATTTTAAAAATAAGAGTGATAAGAAAAAGTATAACAAGAAGCAAAAGAAGAAAGTAGCTCTCGATCGGGGAATCGAACCCCGGCCACCTGCGAATTGCTATGTTCCACGACAAAGTAGCGCGGAAACTAGACCACTGTCTAGTTTTTGACAAGCAGGTATCCTTACCACTAGACCAATCGAGACACATACGAATATGTTTAGCGTCATCTAGTCTTGCTACATGTCTGTGCGTGAGTTGAGCAGCTTGTGTTACGATTGGGGCCCTCCGTGGTCAGCTATAATTTAGTTGGTGTAGTAGGGTAGGGTCTCCTTGCGGCGGCTCTGTGTCGCGAGGTGATAGGGCTGTGTTGGGAGGAGGGGGTTCAAAGTTATGACAGGTCGAGTATTCATGGGCCAGCTTGTAACTATGTAGAAATATCTTTTCTATGATTTCTTGGCAATGATAAAATTGACAGACCATGGGTACAGTATAGCTCCTTTCTTTTTGTCCCTTATTGACGTGACGAGTAGATGAATATGTTTTTTGTGGCGATTACCGACAAAAGAAGCAAACCGCAAAAGAGAAAATTGAAAGGTCATATGAGAATACGAATTACATGTCAAACCTTTCACATAGAATATTTTGTTAGGGATTCAGGATGAACAGTATACAATGGAGATTGGATCCGGTATGTAAATACTCTATAGCTCAATCCGATCACAAGAATACAGCAGATAGAATACTTCGTCGTTGCAACAATGGACAGAAGTCTTGGCATGACCAAAAGCTGTATATAACCTATGGTATGTATCCTTGCGGCCTAATAGAAGGCTAGTCATACTTGCTGCCTGAGAGGAGTGAGGTAGTATGCTAAATACTTGGGTCTGGTGCTCATTATCTTAGATATAAGATATCACCTTGCCTAATACTATTAAACAGCATTCTGTCTAACGAGCACCCCTTTTGCCACGATTTGCCTTTCCCTTGGTACGCCATTGAGGCGTTCGGCTTGAAAGTCTTTGCCTTGGCTCGTCCTCGTACTATCTAGATAGTACGCCACGAACAGTTCCTTTTAACGTTGGCTTCCCTTCAAACATGCGCTCGCCGATGCCAGTCTCTCCTCCACTTCCAACTTCGAGCCATCGTGTCAGGAGGTCGTTGCTTTCCTTGGGCTTAACCGTGTTATCGCGTGTGCCCACGGTAATGTGCGCCACCTTGTTGACGCAAGTCCATCTGTCCTCTTGATCCAGCAGTCGTACGACAATAGCCATGATACGGTCGTCGAACACGACACGCTCCAGCATGACCTCGCACTCGCCGACCTTGCCATCTCCAGACTGGCTTTCAGCCTCGAGGGAGGTGTAGCGCTGCCATAGTTCGGGATGCTGGCTCGCGGTGGCCCGATGCATGAGCGTGACATGGAAAAGAGCTTGGATGCGTCGTGTCTGCTGGAGTTGTTTGTAAAATCGTTGTGTCTGGGGATCGACGTTTTTAAAGGCTGACTCGAGTGCTACATTAACCTCTTTGGCGGGAACTGAGATAGACATGTACTCAAGCGGCTTCTTCTTAGCTTCGCGTGGCTGTTGAGTATCTGCCCGCTTCTGTTCTCTTTTATTTGTACGATCGGGTATTCTGTGTTTTGCACCGGGTACGTAGTCCTCGATGGCACTCTTGACTGCCGCGTCCATCTCTTCTGCACTTGGCATGTCTGGAACCAGCAATGGATATTTCTTGTGAAGCTCGGTAACCACCGTTTCTACGTTGACTCGACTGCTTTGGGCGGGGTCGAGGTTGATAACGAAGTCGAACCCATTGTCAGGCTGACTTTCCGGGACACAAGGCTGAAATCTGGACAAAAAGTTATCCATGATACCAATGACCTTATTCTCATCCGATGCAGCCTGGATAGTTTGATGGTTGTCGCCTCGTTTCAACACGCGCTCTCTAGTGACTCTTCTGACCTCATCCATGTCACCATGGGCGAAATTCAAAGCAATAAGTCGAGCGTCTTTGTGTTGTATTAGAATGTCCTTGATGATTTGTTCTCGTTCCCGACGTTCGGAGTTATTTCGATCAGCAATTACGACGGGATGCTCCGTTAAAAGAGACATAACCAACTGGACCATTCTTGCGGGACGGCCTTTGCCTTGGATATTGTCGTTTTGAATGATACCCCAACCAAATAGATGTGTTAAGGCAACACCTACAGTAGTTTTCCCGCATCCGATTGTGGCAATTGGTACGAGGACAACATCGCCCGACACGGTCGAGGTATCATTTCCAGCTATGTTCTCAAAATTAGCAGCATCGGAGCCTTTCAAATTTTTATATGCGAGGAACTCATCCCGGAGAGCGATGATGCCGTGGTTTTGATTGTATAGTTTAGCCAATTTAGGGTCCTTCGCTAATCTTTGGCGAGCAAAAAGTAAGTACTCCTCGGTAATTTTCGCGTGTTTCTTGTATCTGGGGGGCTTTCCGGCAATAAGGGCTTTGGTGCATTCTCGCCATTGCCGGTACATCAAGTATGGCTCCTCAAACTTGTATTTGAAGAACCAGTCGTTGTATTGTATCCGATCCCGATCGCGTGACATCCCGCAACGGATAACAAAACCTTCGACGTCCCGACCCTCGTGCGCCCCAGACTCGGCGACTTGCTCGAGGAAAGTCTTGACGGTGTCTATGTCATCGAAGACTTGCAGGCCGACCTTTCGAAAGCCCCATTCTTCTGCAAATTGCTGAACTAGACCGCTTGGATATGTCATGAACTCCGGAATGTTAAGGTTGATACCGTGAAGATACAAGCCGGCCTTATCTGGGCCATAAGCCAAAATGTGTTCTTCGAAATCATCGTCACATAGCTCGGCGACTGCTGTGATATTTCTGCTCCGCAGCTCCCGAGCGAACTCTTCCCTTGTTTTACCGATAGTGGCTAACTGTTGTTCTACCCATTTCTCTCCAGCACTGGCATGGCTCACCTCAACATCACTTCGATCGCCAGTTGAATGTTTGCTGCAGACAAGTAAAGTGCCGTCTTCTAGGCCGCTAATAAAGATGATACAGCCATTCTCTTTCAAAGTGAGCTCATAGGGGCCGCGTGTATTGCGTTTAATATTCTCCCACTGTGTGTTGGAAACTTCACCGACGTTGAAGAATTTGTCATATCCTCTCACGGCAATCTCGTGATCATTATGCCGATTCCTGGTGGTGAAGAGGCCACGCGCGTAGGTAGGTAGATGTGATTTCTTGTAATCCCAGTCTTGAAAGCGCCACGAGTCGACACTGATGCCGTCGGGCGACCCAGGGATCTTGAAAGTTGTCTTCTTGACCCTGAAACCGCCCTTTGATTTGTTGGTCGCATCGCTCAAAGCACGAACTAGCTGGGAGTTCTGCTGAGGGTCCTGCTCACAGTAAGGGGGCTTGGGGAGACTCATGGTGAGTTGACGACTGTGGTATGAATAGCTAAAAGACCGATGGGTGCCAAGTGGAAGGCTAGGTCGCAAGACTGGGCAAGCGTGATGAAATATCGAAGCCCTAGGAATGAGTCTACCAATAGTGCCAGATATGGTGGACGTGAAGGAATTGGGATGAAAAAGAGAGCTGCGAGTGTATCATAAGTCAGCCGGTTGTTCTTGGTGCTGGGCAAGTGAACAACTTGGAGTGGTTTATATAGCTTTGCGGGAGAGGGGTATGTGGAACAGGACTGATTGCCTGGAGCATGAGCAGGAGTACAGAATGAAAGAGGTCAAAAGAGAGAGAGAGGTGTGTGTTGTTTGCAGTGGTGTATATATGTGAAACTTGTGGTAGGTAGAGCAAGACAACTGCAAATGGTGGAGAATAGTGAGATCTGGAATGGGCTGGCGTTGGTACTGTAGAAAACGATCATGTATAACCCCTTGTTTACAGGTAGATATGTCGTTTCTCCCCGCATGAGTCACTTGCTTAAGTAGCCTGCAGGTACGTGACATGTAAGGTAATAACGCCTAGGTAGTAATTGGTAAGGTAAAGAACGGTGGCTATTAATCTTGGAAGCTACCTAACCTACCAAGGTGCCATAGGCTATTACAGTAAAGAACCCGGTACTAGGTAGGTACCTACTGTCTTTGGGTGGGAGTGGGAGTGGGAGAGCTAAAGATGATGAGATATGTATCACTATGAGAGATACTAGGGGCGACGCCTAGCTGCAAGTCATAGTTATTTTTTTTCTGTCTAAAAAAAGAGGGCGGGATGGGGGTTTGGTTGCTGGTTGCAGGTAACTTAAGCTGAAGGAGAATACCCGCTTACCTACCTAGCTATCCAAGTGGATACCGGGACAGTGTCTCACATAGGTAGCTCTTTGCTAGGTATGTAAATGCCCTATGACACCCTTGGGCGCGGGTTTGGCGGGGTATTCAAGGAACCCCTCCAAAAAAAAGTTCAGTTATCGCAACAGAGTAACTATTACCTACTCAAGCCTTCCAATACTTGCCGTAGAGAGTCGGTTTATTATCTAGCGCCTTGAAATTGACGCCGACCCATCTTTGGTTCTATATATCGACCTAACTAGGATCATCAACATTTCTCGTAACCGTCAAAATGCCTGCCAATCCATTCCTTCTTGCCGCCGACAACAGCCCAGCTCTTCTGCCCCTCCTTCGCGAAAACCCAGCTCTAGCCGGCCAACAAGATGAGCATGGCTACTCTCTAATACACGCCGCCGCTAGCTACAACCACCTGGATCTCCTACGCGCCCTTGTACAAGAATTCAAAGTTGACGTTAACCTACGTGACGAAGACGAAGAGACCGCCTTGTTCGTTGTGGAGACGGTCGATGCTGCCAAAGTTCTAGTCGAGGAGCTTGGCGCTGGGCTTCTAATTAAAGGATCCGAGGGCTATACTGCCTGCCAAAAGATCACCGAGGAGGGAGACTTCCCGGAAGTCGCCGAGTACCTGAGGCTCAAGGAGGCAGAGAGTGCCCGGGTTCTATTAAATGGGACTAATGGCGAACCAGTGCAGGATGGCGGCGATATACCACCATTGCCTCAAGGACTCAACATTTCTCTCAGCGCCGTCAACCCGGCCGAAAACGACGAGAACGAAGTCGACCCCGAGTTCAGGAGGAGAATAGAAGAGTTAGCTCAGCGTAGTGATTTCCACAGCGAAGAAGGCCAAGCTGCACTCAGACAGCTTGTACAAGATGCCATTGCCGGCGAAAACCTCACAGAC